CATGGCCAACTCACCATGGCCAACTCATCATGGCCAACTCACCATGGCCAACTCACCATGGCCAGCTCACCATAGCCAACTCGCCTCAGGACAACTTCCTGCAGGACAATTTAACAATTCTATTTTATTTTTTTTCAATAAATAAAAAATATTTTAATTTTTGCCATTCATGTTTCATTCGGTCCCTCCTTTTGCATCCTTTCCTTAATGATTCCATTCCACCATTTCTTTGATATTAGTGTAACGCTTGCCCCGCAGTGAGGTATCCTGTGGCTGTCAGTCGGTTTAATGTCAGAGTTCCAAATCATAATCCCATATCAAGCAAAACTCTGAGGCAGGTGAAGTCTTCAAAAGAATAGCTTTATTGGGGATATCTTATTGGCACACATGTGGTGAAAACCGACTCTAAAAGTTCCCGCGGTTTTCCCCCTAATTAAAAGTGAACGTTTGTCACTTCCTCCCAAACCCGCAGCCACATGGTCCAATCAGCGTACAGTCCAGTTTGCTAGATGACCTCAGTCTCCTCCTCCTGAACACCTGCAGGAATGTCCTTGGTTCCCAAGGGAAAGCTACAGCACCCCCAGCTATGTCTATTCCCCTCTCCCTCTCCCTCAGCTCCAGTATGTGCCAGCACAGAAGCAGGAAAATTAAAAAAAATGGCCTCAGTTCAGCCAACTTCAGGGTTGACAGAGGTGAGTTGGCCGTGACAATTTGGCTGAGATGAATTAGCTGTGGTGAGTTGTGTCAGAGTGTGCACAGCTTTACTACATGAAACAACCCAGGAGCAATAACAGCAAATAGAAGTTTGTCATAAAATAGTGGCTTTATCTACAAAAGAATATATACTATACATACATGTATTATAGGCAGAAGTCAAACAATCAGTAAATTACAGCAAGAAAAAAAAACACACACACACACAGAGAGAGAGAGAGAGAGAGAGAGAGAGAGAGAGAGAGAGAGACGCCCTAAGAGGGTCTCTTCTTAATAATCAGGCTCTTAAAGGAATAGCAGCCAAAAACCTTGCTGACTCATTTCCATCATTGCAGCAGCTGGTCAGCTCTTAAATCACTACCCTGACAAGTTGGCTGTGGCAAATTGTCATAGACTGCTCCTTGAGCATGTTTAAGTGTGGCTTGGTTTGAGTGTGGAAAGGGTTACTATACATCATAATTAAATTGAATTGAATTAAATTCTTTATTGTCATTGTACATATATACACAGTATACATACAACAAAATTCACATAAAACCCAGAGACCAGACTCAGCATACACACACACACATGACAATCCCCAAACACGCACACCGCCCCTAAAAACACACAAGCATCCACACAACAGACCAAGTAATACTTATCCAACAGCTCACTGATGGTGGTCCTTAAGTTCATTGTTAAGTGCAATTATAGCTCTAGGATAAAAAAAATGTTCAGAAAACATGTAGTCTGAGTTTTATTTGTTCTGTATCTTCTGCCAGAAGACAACAGTTCACAAAGATTGTAAGCAGGATGGGAAGAGTCTCTGAGAATGTTGTGCAACTTCCTCAAACAGCGAGATGCAAAGATGTCATCCAAGGCTGGTAGCTGGAACCCGATGATCTTCTGGGCAGTTTTAATGATTCTCTGTAGAGCCTTTTTTGTTTGCTACAGAGCTGCTCCCATACCATGCAAGAATGCCGCATGTCAGGACACTCTCAATGGTGCTGAGGTAGTAGGATAGAAGTAGATGCTGAGATAGATTTATCTTCCTGCGCATTCTCAGGAAGTACAGCCTCTTTTGTGCCTTCTTCACAAGCATGTTAGCATTCAAAGTCCATGAGAAGTCCTCCGAGATAGAAGTGCCCAGAAATTTTAAACTACCAACGCTCTCTTCCTCCTCACCATAATGTACAGTACGATACAAAGTGTACACAATGTACACTTTGCCATGTATAAAAAGCCAGGCAATCAAAGCAGCATGAAACTCAGGGGGATTCGGAGACAAGAGAGTGTCCAGTTTACCATTAAAGTCGGGGTAAAACTCTCCATCAAAGTTATTTCCCACGACCAACTTCCAACCTCTTAATTAATCCTAAGTGGCACATCATATCTCTTTTCCAGCAAACATCACATGCTAGGGTTTTTTTTGGTTTTTTTTGGAGAATGACTCGAAAGATTGGAGTGGAAGAAAAAGGGCGCAACAAAAGTCACAGTCATTAAGGAGAGGAGTTGTGGAGGGAAGATTTTTGAAGCCAATTAAGTGGCTTTTCTGGGCCTAAAAAATGATATGGAATTTTGCCACCAGGAGGAATTTAAACAAAAGGGTAACAAGCATTCAATCAGAAAGGATTTAGCAAAACTGGCACAATACTCCTTAGAGAAAGCCAGCGCTTCCTTGCCAAAGAAAAACAAGCATTCTTCAGCAAATATTTTAATTGTGGCGAGGCAGGAGGGTAATGCGTGAATCAAATTTTCAAATTCAGAGCTCCACTTTCTTCTTCCGGCAGGTATTTCTTCCAATGCAATGCCAAAATCCCACTCCGCACCAAGAGAGGAGACCACAAGGTTTTTGAGTGTGCCAAGGTGATCGAAAGCTTTGCTAGCAAAGCTCGGAGTTTGGTGCCCGTCAAATACGAAGTGATTGTCGTGACAGGCTCCCAAAAAGGATCTGGCACAGATGCCAATGTCCACATTACCATATTTGGAGTGAACGGGGATTCGGGCAAGCGGCGTTTGAAGCAGAAATTCCGCAATCTCTTTGAACGGGGCAGCACCGATCGGTTTTACCTGGAAATCCTCGAACTCGGAGAGCTGAAGAAAGTTCGGATTGAGCACGACAGCAGCGGGATCTCTCCCGGATGGTTGGTGGAACGAGTCGAGATCACCAACTCAGCGACGGGCATAACCACCAACTTCCCTTGCGGGAAGTGGTTGGATAAGAATAAAGGGGACCAGTTAACATGGAGGGAATTGTTTCCCAGAAGCTAATGGTGACTTTAGAATAGACTAGAGATGGAAGGGACTTTGAAGGTCTTCTAGTCAGTCCCCCTGCTCAAACAGGAGAGCCTATACCATTACAGACAAGTGACTGTCCAGTCTCTTCTTGAAAGCCTCCAGTGATGGATCACCCACAACTTCCGAAGGCAAGCTTCAGATGGAAGAGTGAAGAGATACCTACAGATGAGAATGTGGTTAGGAATATACTAGAATGTGCGGAAATGAATAGATTAATATTGGCAATTAAAGAGGAAGAACAAACTGAATATTATCTGGTACGGGATTTATTCTATGGATGGTTAAATAATAGAAATGGAAGTTAGAAATAGGAAAACAAAATAAAGATGATGTGTCAAAAGCGATAAGTTAATATAATGACTAACGTGTTGAATATTACCATGTTAATATTGTACAATTAATTAGTATAATTAATAGGCGGATATTACTATGTTAAATATGTAGAATTAACATGCAATGAAGGATGTTATAATTTTGATTATTGTTTAATAAAGATGCTTGTACCCAGACAACACACACTTGTTCAACTGAAGATGGAATGATTGTATAAAAATAAAAGAAAACTTATTTTAAAAAACTTCTGGAGGCCAGCTGTTCCGCTGGTTAATTGTCCTCACTGTTTGGGAAGTTTCTTCTTAATTCCAGGTTGCTTCTCTCCTTGATTAGTTTCCATCCATTGTTTCTTGCCTTGCCTTCTGGTGCTTTGGAAAATAAGTTGACTCCCTCTTTTTTTGGCAGCCCCTAAAATACTGAAATACTTTATTATCTATTATGTATCTATTACCTATCACGCTATACTTTGCAGGATGTCATTTTCCAAAATTGTTTTTGCATCATCTAGCAGGTGAATTTTCGGTCTGGAATGCTTTCTTCAACAAATTAAATTTCAGAACAAAACTAACTTGGGGGTTTGATGTCAATCTAACTTAATCCAGAAGAGGTTTCGGCAATTTCCTATTTTTCAAAAACGGATGCTTTTGTTTAGCAAAAACTCCATTTCATTCCAAAATGTCTTTTCTCCCGCACCCAGAAAGAAATATTATAACTCCCATCAGCTCTTCAATAGACTTGACTGTTATTTATGATGATTTGCTAAATGTTCTTTTTTTTTTTTTACATTTTTCAAGATTGCTGTTCTAAAAGTGCTCCGTGTTTCACATTTTCTGAATAACTTTTTGCGAAATGTGCGGATAAATAAATACAGGTAGTCATGACCACCACTGAGCCCCAAATTTCCATGGCTCAGCGAGACGGTCGTTCAGTGAGTTTTATCCCATTTCCCAACCTTTCTTCCCAAAGTGAATCTGTGTGTGTGTGTGTGTGTAAAGTCCGTAATACGGTCGTTAAGTGAATCTGGCTTTCCCCGTTGACTTTGCGTGTAAGAAGATCGCAAAAGAGGTTTGTGTGACCCTGGGACACTGCAGCCATCATAAATATGAGTCAGTGGCCCAGCGTCCGAATTTTTGATCATGTGGGGTGGTACCAATGGTGGTAAAAGTGAAAATAGTCATAACCGGGGATGGGCTTCAAAAATTTTAGCAACGCGTTCTCTGTCTGGTTGCTGGGTGGGCATGGCCTAATCAGCCTCCTGCACCATGAGGGGGGGCAAATTTTCCCCTCCACGGACTCCAGAGGCTTTCCTTGAGCCTCCAGGAGGGCAAAAATGGCCTCCCGGGACTCTGGAGGCTCTCTGGAAGCCAGAAATGGGCCCATTTCCGGCCTTCCTGAACTTCCAGGAGGCCCGTTTTTCACCCTCCCCGAGCCTCTGTGCAAGCCCTGCACTTAGATTCTGAAATGTGTAGATTCCGAAATGTGTAGATTCCAATATGTATAGTTTGGTGAGATATTCTCGGAACTCTCTGCTTATTTAAAGTATTCGTACCCCACACTGCAACTACAGCAGGGGTCTCAAACTCGCAGCCCGTGGGCCAATTGCGGCCCACCGGACGATATCCTGTGGCCCCCACCGTGATATGAAAGTATAATGTTAGTGCGGCTCACAGGGGGAATGGACCTCTGAAGGAAATCCCGCCCGCCGTTCCTCGTCGTGGCTTCTTCTCCACCCTGAACTTTAACAAGTCCAAGTACAGGTCCAGACTTACCGATGGTCATCTTCAAGCCATACTGAGGGACTCAAGTACCTCCTCTCTCCAGTCAAATGTGGCTCAGATATGTGAGAGGAAGCGTTGTCAAGTCTCTGGCAGCAAGGAGTAAGCTGGAGAAGCCATGTTCTGAGGAACTGGCCATGATCTTCATTCAATGTTCCATTCATGTGTTCAGGACAGTTCATGTATTGGAGAAATCATTAACTGTTGATGACATTTGAGGATATTTTTTTAACAACGTTTTTTGTGGAATCCCTTAGGCAGCCCAGCCTCACCCAGACTCTGCCTCCAGCGGCCCCCAGGTAAATTGAGTTTGAGACCCCTGAACTAGAGGTTGACAATACCGCTTCCGAGCCAATACAAGGAGCACAGCTGGCGCCATTTGATGGCAACGCAAAATAATTAATTTCAGAATCTCTGTTATTAAAATCGCTGGTGTCCTTCCCTCTTTCCAAGATGAAAGTATGCGGAATGCAAAATTCCTGCTCTAACTGGGAAAGCATTTCTCAACCGTTGCGGTGAAATGGATTCAGCGTGAAAAGGACCGAAAAGAACCATCACAAGAGCCAACTGGTCAACGAACAGAAAGCGTGGTGGGGTGAGCATGTTACTTTGAATATACAGGAAGTCCTCGACTTACAATGGTTCATTTAGTGACCATTCAAAAGTTACAACGACCACTGAAAAATGGGACACATGACGGATGTTCATACTTACACCCGTCGCAGTATCCCTATGGCCACATAATCAAAATTTGGATGCTTGGCAACTGACTCATATTTATGACGGTTTCGGTGGCCCAGGTGGGGCATGTCCTGCAACCCCCTTTTGCGACCTTCTCACAAGCAAAGTCAACCTGGAAGCCAGATTCACTTAACAACCCTGCAGCGATTCACTTAACAAGCATGGCAAAAAAAAAACATTCTAAAAGGGGGTAAAATTCACGTCATGACTGTCTCGCTTAGCAGCAGAAAGGTTGGGCTCAACTGTGGTCGTATATCGAGGACTACCTGTATCCCAAAAGAAAGCAAGGTGCAAACTGAAGGAGCAAATTATGGCATGAAGTGATAACATGGTAGCCCTATTCCAGTATTGGAGGGGCTGCCACAAAGAAGAGGAGAGTCAACTTATTCTCCAAGGCACCTGAGGCAGTGGGGGGATTCAAACAATTTTTACTACCAGTTCTGTGGACGTGGCTTGGTGGGCCGTGGCTTGGTGGGCATGGCTTGGAGGGAGTGGCTTGGTGGGCATAGCAGGGGAAGGATACTGCAAAATCCCCTTCCCTCCCCACCCCACTAACCTGCTTTTCAGCTCTGTTCTCCTGTGCAGGGCAACCAAAGAAGACCCAGCCAATCAGCTGGGACTCGGGAGGTGGAGAATAGATGGGGGCGGGGCCAGTCAGAGGTGAGATTTGCTGGTTGTCTTAACTACTCAAAATTTCCGCTGCCGGTTCTCCAGAACGGGTCAGAGCTGAATCCCACCTCTGACCTGAAGGCAAGACAAGAAGCAACGGGTGGAAAACTCACCAAAGAGAGAAGCAACCTAGAAGTAAGGAGACATTTCCTGCCATTTAGAACAATTAATGAGTGGAATGGCATGCCTCTAAGAAGTTGTTTGGTGCTCCAACACTGGAGGATTTTAAGAAGAGATTGTCTCAAATGGAATAGAACAGGGGGGTCCAACTCAATTTCAGTTTCCAGACAGCCTCCAGAGCCCGGGGAGGGCAAAACCGTCCCCCCTGCCATGATGCAGGCAGGATTGCCAGATCGCAGCTTGGCTCTGCGGCCAAACTCAAATCAAAATATGGCCAAATTCGGCCAAATTATCTTCTCTCATGGCCAAATTTTACAGCCAAATTTTTTTTATGCAAGATAACATGAGGATATATTGTTTTTTGTTTTTTTTTAACTGTTTTAAAATAATCAAATCATAAAAAATAGTCTTTATTCGACAATGTGATGGGACGTCATGGGAATTTCTGCGTTTCTTTTCTTCACATCCAGGCTAGGCAGCTCGCTTCAAATAACCGCTACTATCGTTTGGAAAGCTCAGAGCCAAATGCAGCGATCCTGAGGAGGGGGGGACTAGGGCATGAGGGTTTTTAGGGGGATTCGCTCCCCCCCAATTGAAAAAATGTGAACATATTGTATTGAAAACCGGTATTCGGCCGAAATTTTGATTTTACAGCCAAGCAACTTTCATACAGCCAAATTTCTGGCCAAATACATTTGGCCGGAGACATGATTTTTTTCACGGCCAAACAGATTTCTATACGGCCAGATTTCTCGAATTTGGCCGGAAAAACAGCCAGATGGCAACCCTGGATGCAGGAGGCCAACTAGGCCACGCCCACCATGGACATGTCCACCCAGCAACCAGGCAGAGAAATTTGCTAAAATTTTCGAAGCCCAACCCTGATCTTTCCTTGACACATATTTTAGAGTCACTGCAGTCTCAGGATCCATGCAGACACCCAACGGACACAGTCAGGGACAGCCAGATGCTACAAAGGGCGCCACCGCAGACTTGCCCTTCCTGCAGGATTAAAATCTGCCTTCCCCAGCCCTCCCCTCATCCTCATTCCTGTTGCTACAACCACGAATGCCCAGATGCAATAAAGTTCCCTTGCAACTTTTCCAAGGGAGGATTTACATACATTCATTTTAAACGAGCACATTCTTGGCCAAAGCACAGACTCAAATGCTCGGGCAAGGAGCCATTTGCTGCTGCTGAGAGAGATCATCCATTGCTGAATTCTTGAGTCAAAGGCAAGATTCTCTAGCAACGTGAAGGAAGCTGGTGCCTCTGGCATTCGCTGGCAAGATTTTACACTCTCGCCCTAAATGTTTGCCACGATGAGAAGCCCCT